TCCATGAAAGAACCAAACATATAGAAATCGATTGTCATGTAGTAAGACAAAAGATTCATGAAGGGGTTATCAAGCTACTGGCAATATCTTCACACAATCAGAATGCTGATGGTTTCACTAAGGCTTTGCCTAAGCCATCTTTTGATTTTTTCCACTCTAAGCTAGGCTTTCAAGATCTTCATGCTCCAGCTTAAGGGGGTGTGATGAAGTATATAGTGCAATAGTGCAGCGCAACAACAGAATGGAGACAAGAAAACGCGCTTTTGGTAGACGCGTTTGGTAGACGCTTTTGGTAGACGCCTTCGCTTTTGGCAGTAGACGCTTTTGGCAGTTATAACTGTTTCTTTCTTATCTCTGTATATAAGCTCATGTTGAGCTTCCTTTTTCAATGTTAATCAATTCCCTTTCTTCTCTGCTTAGACTCTAGTATACTTTGCTCAACAATATGGTTGATTCTCATGCATGACCTGAGATAATTCATCACTTGCTATATGGAAATATCATCCTACCATTACAACGTCATCAATTAATATTGCAAGAAGAGAAATACCTTAAAAGGACTAAAATATGAATTTAACTTCTATATTTTCATTGTACAATTAGTATATATTGTTATACCATTTTTTTTGTCAATTTTATATATCTAGCCGGCCTATTCAAATTTCATTTAATTTTTTTGATTCTAAGTATTTTATATACTTCTTTTTTTTTTTTTTAAAAAAAAACCCATTTTCTATATATTAGTGCCATAAATCGTTGAATTGATTTACTACATGTAAAATAGTAATTTATCTAATTAAAAAAAATATTATCAAGTCAATTGCTCTTGGGGTTGGTCTCTTGTAATACCATCTCACAAGTTTCAATCTGTGAGACGGATCATATATAATAAAAATGAGTCATAACAGAATTACAGATATAATTAATATTTTAAATCTTATATATAATACTTTAATTTATAACATAAATAATACTCCGTTGTACTTCAATAGATAGTTCATAAAATTGTAGATATCATCAATACTTCAAACTTTATATATAATACTTTATAGCATAAATATAGTACTTTTAGAAAATTTATAATAGACAATTCGCAGGAACGAACTAAGTTCATATACCATAAAATAGTATTACTAAGTGTTGGAAAAATAGCATTAAAATGACATGTTAAGTGGCTATTTTGTGGTACAATTATCAGTGGGGTCCACTTCCGATTTGGGTCGGGTCAAAGTGGATTCGGGTTCTTCGTAGTGAGACGAAGAGATTGATATATTGTACGCTCAAAACGGATAATGGGTGAATGAGATATTGATTCTCAAAGTAGACCCATTTGAGTTGGAAAATGAAGGGAAAAAGTGAGCTTTTGTCCCACATTGTTTTGGGAAGAGGATTTGCCCCACTATTTATACAAGAGCTCTTTTTACGCTTATTGAATTGTATACCATAGAGACTCTCTCTCGCACGTAGGGGGGGGGGGGTGCAAATCAAATCCCAGAATGAGATCGAAAAGGCTTGAGTCAACCACTGAACTATAGCCCCAGGTTGAAACAAAGCCAAAGCCATGTTACAAAGCCAGGTATTTAATGCTATTATTTCAGATGTTACAAAGCCAGGTATCTATGTCCCTATATAAGAAGGGTTTCAGATGTTACAAAGCCAGGTATCTATGTCCCTATATAAGAAGGGGTAGAGAGCAGCAAGTACACACAACGAAACTCTGCTCCTACTCCTTTCTTGCTACTGTGTTCTGCCCGTGCTCTTGTTCGCCGGGTTCGTTCGTTTGGGTGCTCAAACGTCGAACCGTTGTACGTTTTATCTTGGGAAGCCTAGGCCACAACGCTCCTAGCACTTTCGGGAGGTGGCAAATAAGGTTTTAAGGAAAGACAGGCACTTTGCCTAACTCGTACTTTCTTTCTTCCCTCTCCTTCTTTCTAAGTTTTGGATTATGCTCTAAGCAAAAATCCGTTCTTTCTTGTTGACTTGGAATTATAATCTAAGGATTATATGTTCCAATTTTGGTTGATATATATTGGTATATCTTTTTTGTAGATATACATGTATATATAACCGTTGGGTCCGTTTTATATATATGTTTGTGTATATATATATATCAGATAAATATCTAATAATATTTTATATACTTTCGTGTGTGTATATATAAATATTATTTTTGCGATATTAAATCGATTTTGGTTCATTTTGGTTTTTGCGATATTATTTCGTTTTCTTTGATGACATTTTGGTCAACAGCACATCCATGGAGCTTCATGTGCAGCACCTCCATATCATACACGAGACTCTGGGAGCCGAATTTTTTTATGTGAAACTCACAAAATGCTCTTTTTGCAAGACCTTCGTAGACTATTTGGGACACATTATTAGGGAAGGAGCAGTTCATGCAGATGAGGAAAAGGTAGTTGCCATGAACAATTGGCCAACTCCAAAGACTATTAAACAATTACGTGGGTTTCTTGGGTTGACGGGATATTACCGGCGTTTTATACGTCATTATGCTCACATTGCTGCACCCCTCACTGATTTATCGAAGAAAGATGCTTTCACATGGACAGAGGAAGCACACAAGGCTTTTTTGGCCCTTAAGCATGCTATGTCCACGACCCCTGTTTTGCGATTGCCAGATTTTGAAAAGCCATTTGTACTGGAAACCGATGCCTCAATCACAGGGGTGGGTGCAGTCCTCATGCAAGGTAACCAACCCTTAGCTTTTTTCAGCAAAAAGCTAGGATCCCGATTACAAGCGGCTTCAACTTATCATCGCGAGCTTTATGCCATTGTGGAGGCAGTGCATAAATAGCGTCAATATTTGATAGGTCGTTCTTTCATCCTACGAACCGACCACTGTAGTCTCAAGGAGTTGTGGCAACAATTAGTACACACACCAGATCAACAATTTTATATTCAGAAGTTATTGGGGTTCCGCTTCACCATTGAATATAAGCCAGGAACCACAAATAAAGCAGCGGATGCCTTGTCACGAGTGGAATCTTGGGAGGATGATGGGGTAGCTACCATGTTCTCTGTTTTTTGCCAACCATTACCATCCCTGATTGATGATATTAGAGCTGAAAATGCATCTTTGGAGGATCTTCGAGCCCTACACACTAAAGCACGTGCCGGTACACTGTTGCCTCCTTTCACGGTTCGTGATGGTATAGTTTTCCACAATAATCGTTACTTTATTAGCCACCATTCGAACCTCAAGAATAGTATTTTGCATGAATTCCACACGGCACCAATAGCAGGTCATCCAGGGGTGAAACGGACGTTAGTAAAGCTGTTAACAACGTTCTTTTGGCTCAATATGCGTAACGAAGTTAGGCAGTTTGTGGCTTCTTGTGTTACCTGTCAGTACACAAAATATTCCACTCAACCACCTGCAGGCCTTCTCCAACCATTACCAGTCCCAGATATGGTGTGGCAGCAGGTTACAATGGATTTTATCACCCATCTACCGTCATCTCGAGGATTCACTGTCATATTAGTGGTGGTTGATCGGTTGTCAAAAGTCGCTCATTTTGGTCCATTGCCAACAGGATTTGATGCGCCAAAAGTTGCAGCGTTGTTCACAACCATGGTGGTAAAATTGCATGGTTTCCCAGACTCAATCATTTCCGACCGCGACGTGATTTTTATGAGCTCCTTTTAGAGAGAGCTTTTTCGACTTAGCTGAAATACACTCAAACGAAGCACATCATATCACCCCCAAACTGATGGGCAAATAGAGGTGGTTAATCGAGGCTTAGAACAATATCTCTGAGCTTTTACACATGCTCGCCCGACGCGCTGGTACTATACGATTTCCTTTGTTGGGCTGAATATTGTATAAATACTACCTACCATGAGGGACTCAAAATGACTCCTTTTCAAGCACTATATGGCCATCCACCACCCACAATCCCACGCTACACAGCAAATACCATTAAAATTGCCACAATTGACGAAATGCTTTTGGAAAGGGATGGACTGATAAAATAACTCCAGGCCAATCTGTTAAATGCGCAACACAGGATTACACAACGGGCAAACTCCAAGCATAGAGACGTATCTTTTCAAATAGGTGATGAACTCCTGTTAAAACTCCAACCATACCGTCAACATTCAGTGACTAAACGATCATCTCAAAAGTTAGCATGTCGCTTTTTTGGGCCTTTTCCAATTATTGAACAGATTAGGGCTATAGCGTATCGTTTAAAACTGCCAGAAACATCAAAGATACACCCAGTGTTTCATGTATCGTTGCTACGTCCGATCCGGACATCCGCACCTCTACAAACAGTCATTCCTCTCCCAGCAGAATTCTAGGATGGTAAACCAGTTTCTAAACCTATGGCTTTGGTAGATACTCGAACTGTGTTGCGTAATGGAAGGCAGGAAGAGCAAATACTAACACAATGGAGTGATGGTGGTCCAGCTGATGCAACGTGGGAACCTGCCGCAGTCATTGCCAAGTTTTTTGACAACCAACACCTTGAGGACAAGGTGGTTTCCGATGGGGTCGGGAGTGTTACGCCAACTACCATGACACAAGCTCGTGAACCTTCACAATGAAAGATCCACTATACAAGGAAAGAACATTAATTTGAGGAGGACAAATCGAGAGAAGAAAAAGGCTGGATGGATGACAAATGATTATGTCTATAATTAAAGGATTGAGAAGATTGGATGGTATCACAGAAAAGGAAGGAATCATGCTAGCAAGGAAAGATTAATTTATTTACATTCAATAAGTTTTCTATATATTGTATGCACCTTTGTTCTATTGGAGTGAGAAGAATTCAAGCATTGTTTTTCTTAATTCATTGTCTTTGGAGTTTTACGTGCACTCGAAGCTCATAACTAAGGAGTCGTACTTGCTCGAAAGGTACAACGATACGCAAGCGTATCAATTCGTTTTACAATTCAATAGATCAATTAAAGATTCAATAAGATGTAAACTCTATAAAAGACTTGAAACAAAATGAAAATAAGATATTACATCAAGGCGAAAGAGTTGTATAAGAGCTGACAATGGCATAAAATATTTACACAAAATCATAGATCCTTTATCGAGGATCGAGAATACTACTTATTGTAATCTCATTTTTGGAATTAGGATGAGAAATACAAACAATGGGATTGGATTGGCTAGAAACAAATGCAGGTTCTTTGAGTTGTGGAATTGGTGCTGCATGGTCATTGCTCAACATTTGAACTACATCAGACATTATCGGTCTATCCGTTGGAATTGCTTGGACGCATAGAAGTCCCACCTCGATGCACCTTATGACCTTGAGAGAGTCACATGATTCCTTTATCGCTAGATCAACAAATTCAAGTGGTTGTCCATCTTTCCAGTTTTTCCATGCCTAATAGAATAAAAATAAAATAAATCATAACATCTATTTCTTTGGATCTACATGTAATTTATATATCCAAAGACATGAAGTAATTGAAAATGCCTACCCATCCTAGGAGAGTGAGAGAAAGTTGAGTCCGAAAAAAATTAGAATTTTTCTGACCACTAACAATTTCCAATAGCAGCACTCCAAAACTGAATATATCGGATTTCTCCGAAAATTGACCATGCAATACATATTCTGGCGGAATGTAACCACTAAGTAAAAAATGAAGATATATTAGGTATAGAAATATTCACATAACTAAAGATGACATGCATATATTTTGTACTTGTATTCTTATCAATTGACTCATTGGCTAATCAATTCAAGAGTGGATTCTAACTAAACTTACTATGTTCCAACCACATGATTTGTTTTTGCTTGAGTTTGGTCAACCCCAAAAATTCTTGCCATTCCAAAATCTGATATTTTGGGTTTCATTGCTTCGTCAAGTAAAATATTACTTGCTTTTAAGTCCCGATAAATGACTTTCAGTCTAGAGTACTTGTGAAGATAAAGAATTCCTTGCGCAACTCCTTCTATTATTTCAATACGTGTATTCCAATCTAAATTATCTTTCTGAATTGCATCTGAGAAAAACATAGAAATTTTGTTAATATAATGGAATTTCAAGGTTCCAAGAAAATGAAACCTTGAAATTTAAATCATAGAAAAGATAACAAATTAAATGTACCAAATAAGAATTTGTCTAGACTTCTCTTTGACAGGTACTCATAGATTAATATTTTTTCTTCATCCTCAATGCAGCAACCCAATAGGCGCACAAGATTTGTATGTTGTAGTTTTGCAATTAGCTTCAGCTCATTCATGAACTCATTCAGACCTTGAGATGATTGCTTGGATAATCTCTTGATAGCTACCATCCCAAATTTTGGGAAAAATCCCTGAGGAAGAATAATATCAACACTATACCCTTCTATTCCAACCTAAACAAAAAATCATGAAATGGTCACCTTATAAACAAGACCAAAACCACCCTCTCCAAGTTTGTTTGCTTCATGGAAGTTGTTTGTAGCATCAATTATTCTTCGCAAACTGAGCTGTAACAACTCTATATGATCTTTTCCAAGAAGGGGAGCAGTTGACACTGTAGCCCTTTTAGAAACCCAACCTGGAAATGAACCAAAATAACCATTTGATACTTGATAGCTAGGAAGGAGTTAGTTAATTGTATACATACCTTTCCTTCCACAGTATTTCCAGGTGAGGATATACACCAAAACAGAAATAAGAAAGAAAGCAGAGACTGAGGCTACTATAATTGCAACAAGACGACATTTGTTTTTGTGAGGTGAATTATCATTTCCATCTGCATTAACATCATAGAATGAAGTAAAGAAATAAGCACCCCTGCATTTCGACCATTCATCACTTGTTTTTTGCCTCAACAGAAACTGAATAAGACCTTCTGGAGTCAAGACGGATCTTACTGGAATTAAGGTGTTAGCATATCCATAGCTGTAATACAGTTCATCATTTTCTTTAGCATAAGAATAAAAAGAAAAATATGCATTTCCCCCTGAGGGAAAGTAAACATTGTAAGTAAACCCTTCCTGATACAAGTTGGTCCTTTGATAAGGAATGTTTTCTTTCCAAATGAACATCTGTGGAGGCCCTTTAGGATCGATTCCACAAGAGAATTTCCCTGGCCTGGGATCATCACTGCTACTCCAACATCTTATCACGTTCCGTTTTCCGGTTTTCTTGTTTACCTTTAGCCTCATCTCCGGCATTAACGTGTCACTGTCGCCATCGAAGCTTTCCCAAACTGTGCTCTCACCCTGCTTCACAACAAGATCTCCCCTATCTTGCAGTTGGGCGGCCGTGGATCCGCCGCCGCCGCCTGAGATATTGGTTGACCATATAATATTTCTTCCGCCGCCGTCCAAAAGCTGCAGATTCCCGTCATACCCGAGTGTGAAAACGGCTTCAGAATCTTGACGAAGCGGAGATTCTCTGTTAGCGACCCAAATCACAGTTTTGTTGATGGAATTGTACCATATCCCGAGAAAGGAAGAAGAAGAGTTCCCGGGGTGGAAGAATCCTAACGAGAAGTTCCCGTCGGCGGAGACTAAGGTCCGGTTTCGAGTAACAGATTCGCCGGGCCTGAGACTGTCAGTGCCCCCTCCAACATTGCAGAAAAAAACACAGAAAGGCTAAGAAAACATAAGAAACCCATCCCATATCACCACCATTACTTACAACAGCCGCCATTTCATAGCTCTCGCATTCTAGCACTCCTACGCAACTGGCTAGTTGTAATTAAAAAAAGAGTTGTGATAGTCAAGCTAGACTGCGTCTACCTGTTTAGCTGTAGTGGTGGATGGAAAATTTTCGTTTGAATGTTATTTCTAATTTGAATCCACAATGTAAAATGGACCCTACTCCATATATACAATAATTTTCCTACAAAATCAAGCATACTATTTCTTTTTCAAAAGTTATAAAATTTGTATACTCCATGAGATACATATATCATTTTTCATAGTATAATTAGCCAGCAATTATATCGTGGACCATGGTCCAAAAACGGCGTCGTTTCTTTAAGTAAAGAAACGGCTTTCGTTACAGCTTAACGGAGCCCGTATTTTTGGTGTGTTGATTACTAATGAAACTAGGCAAATTATGTTGTGCATCCGTATGCACCCTGCATGGTGCATACAGATGCAAAAACGACGTCGTTTTGCATAAAACGCGCGCCTTAAAAAAAATCAGTTACGATTCTCAGCAACAACATTATGTTATTCATTTTTAGTTCATTCATTTTGGATTTTTTAGTTATGAAATTCTGGAAGTGTAGTTATGCAATTCTGGGAGTGTAGTTATGCAATTCTGGATGTGTAGTTATGAAGTTATGCAATTCTAGAATTATAGTTATGCAATTCTAGAAGTGTAGTTATGCAATTCTGGATGTGTAGTTAGGCAATTCTGGAAGTGTAGTTATACAATTCTGGAAGTGTAGTTATGCAATTCTGGATGTATAGTTATGAAATTATGGATGTGTAGCGAAATTATGGATGTGTAGTTATGTCATTCTGATTTTTTTTTTTTAAGTTAGATGCCAAAACGACGTCGTTTTTGCATCCGTATGCATCATGCATGGTGCATACGGATGCACATCATAACGCTCCATGAAATTACAGTGTATCTAAAATGAAACTCTCACATATTATTTTTATATTATCAAATGAAATTGTAATTGAATTGAACTGAATTGAAACTGCAGTGTATATAAAATGAAACTGAATAACAGTTTCACATATTGAGTGTATATTGTTCAATAAAACTGTAGTTATATCGAAACGATACTGTAGTTGTGTTGTAATGAAAATATAGTGTATATAAAAAGAAACTAAATAACAGTTTCACATATTTGAGTGTGTAATCTCGAATAAACTGTAATTATATCGAAATGAAACTACGGTGTATATAAAATGAAATTGATTATGTTATACAAACGGAGCACTTTATGCAGAACGGCGCGAAACGAGTGTCGTTTCTTTTCATTAAAAGAAACGGCACCATTTTGAACTATGGATCACAATTCATTGTGATCCGAGGTACACGGTAAAATTTGCCTACAAAATCAAACATACTATTTATTTTCCAAAAGCCATAGGACTTTTAAAAGTTTTGAAAAGTTCAAAGATGGTGACCATAAGAAAAGAAAAAGAAGAAGCAACGTCCAAATATTATTGTTTTGCTCGAATTTAGTCCAAATATGATTGCTCCGACTAAAATATTTTCTCCACCTATTTTCATTTGTGATGTAATTGCTATGAATTTGGTTGTTTTCAAAATTGTGTACATTGCACATGCTACATGGAAATATCATCGTACCATTATAATGTCGTTAATTAATATTGCAAGAAGAGAAATCTTAATTATAATAAAGCTATATGGTTTGGGAAGTAATTAATGTTACAATTAATGCCACAACATCCTTTATTAAAAAAAAAAAAAAAAAAAAAAAAAAAAACACACACAACATTTGAAAAATAAAATAGCTATATATTATATAATCATATAAAAAATGTACTTTTGAAATAAAATAGCTATATATTATACAATCATATAAAAAATGTGTTCAATTAGAAATTTACTCATACAAAATTTGAAATTTACTTTCCAAATGTAGTTATCTTAGTTATTATTCGTATTGTGAAAATTATAATATAGATGAAATACAATTAAGAATAAATCAATGTAATTATGTAAATTCTCTCTATAAGTTTATTTGAATATGCACATAATTAGAGATTATATTAACCATACAAAATTTTAATTTTAATTTTAATTGTAATTTTGTATTCTATAAAAATAATAAATACTTGACCAATGAAAGCTCAAAAATATTATTATATTAAACAATTTAAAATATTTTAGTTTTTCTATTCTTTATTTATATTTATAATAACATAATTTTTTCCCGTGCATCACGCGGGTGAATTACTAGTAAATTAATAAAGACTAAAAAAATGAATTTAATTAACTTTTATATTTTTATTCTACAATTAATATATATTGTCATATCATTTTTATTGTCAATTTTATATATCTAACCTATGCTAATTTCATTTAATTTGTTTGATTCTAATATATATATATATATATATATATATATATATATATATATATATATATATATATATATATATATATATATAGTGAAAGGTTCCCGTGCGGCTGAATGCTTCCCGTGCGGTTGTGCGGTTGATTAATGTGCGTGAGTGTTGTACTTAATGTGCCTGAGATTTGTACTTAATGTGCGTGAATGTGTAAAATGCAGCAGAAAATATGGATGTCAGCTTCTTCCCCATCCCCAGTAGCCATTGCCCCCTCCCTGATGATGATGATGCAGAGGTGAGCTATGGTGGTTAAGAATTATGGGAATAATACAACAGAAATCCACATTTAGCTGATGTGCAAATTTTACTGTGCGTGCGTCATCTATATAAACATTCAACTGCACTGAAGGTAGCTGATAATCCAGAATCCATAGCCAAATTGAAGGAAGAAGTAACAAGAAGCTTGGACGTTAATGTGCGTGAGTTTTCTGTTCTGCTTCATTCTGAGCTCGTAATTCTGAACTACTCACGCACATTAAGCATAAATCTCACGCATATTAAGCACAATACTCAGGCACATTAAGTACAAAACTCACGCATATTAACATGACGCACATTAAGTATAAACCTCACGCACATTAATCCACCGCACGGGAAGCAACAAATGCACCTGATCCTTCCCTATATATATATATATATATATATATATATATATATATATATATATATATATATATATATCAGGTTTTTGTGAGGTCAGGTCTTCCCGTGCGGTCAGTGCGACATACACCACAAGGTACGCATAAATACACCACACAGTGTTCGTAAATACACTATATGTGTGGTGTATTTTTTTTTTTTTTTGTGGTGCATTTTTTGACATTTCATTCTGGTGTAGTTTTGAACACTGTATGGTGCATTTATGCATACCTAATGGTGTATGCCACACTGACCGCACGAGAAAACCTGACCTCACAGGAACCAAAATACATACATATATATATATATATATATATATATATATATATATATATATATATATATATATATATGATAACCAAAACAATCGTGAACATTTATATATATGCTTCCCTCACGCAAAGTATTCTGTGGACCCAGGTTTACCATGCAAGATGGACCCGAGTTCAAAAATACACAATTTACATACTGAAATGTTCATAATTTCATACTAAATGGTCATGAGTTACATACACAATTTATACACTAAATATTCACAATTCAAATTGTGAACATTTAGTAAATAAATTGTGTATTTAGCAAGGTGGACCCAGATCCATGGTATAACTATCACTTCCCTCATCCTACCCCTACAAAATCCAATTGTTTCCATAATTTGAATGTTATTTCTAATTTGAATCCACAATGTAAAATGGACCTACTCCATATATACTATAATTTGCCTACAAAATCAAGCATACTATTTCTTTTTCAAAAGTTATAAAATTAGTACACGTAAGGAAAGTTATACTCCATGAGAATACATATATCATTTTTTATAGTATAATTTGGTGTTTTCCTCCATCTCCATGCTTCGACATGGCTCCATTCAAAGCCCCTGGGCCAGATGGATATCATACTGGCTTCTTTCAACAAAACTGGTCGGTTGTGGGAGAGAGCTTAGTATCTTTTGTAATGGAGTATTTCGAGTCTGGCAAACTGGCAGAAGGATGTAACGACACGGTTATAACATTGATACCAAAAGTCCAGAGCCTAGAGAACGCAAAGCAACTACGACCTATCAGCTTATGTAACGTCTCATACAAGGTTATATCGAAGACTCTTACTTCTAGACTGAAGCCGGCCATCCAGAAGCTTATCGGCCACAATCAGTCAAGCTTTGTCCCCGGAAGACAGATAGTGGATAATATAATTGCATATCAGGAACTCTTGAATACAGCTAATCGGAAAAAAGGAAAAATGGGCCTAATGATACTTAAGATAGACCTTGAGAAGGCGTATGATAGACTGTCATGGAGTTTTATCCAAGATACCCTCCAAGAGGCAGGCTTCAGTGAAATTTGGGTCAGACATATCATGGGATGCATCACAACAGCAAGATTGGCAGTCTCCGTAAGCGGTCAGCGTTCGCAGTGGTTTAAACCATCGAGGGGTATCCGACAAGGTGATCCTATATCCCCGCTAGTCTTCGTACTTTGCATTGAACGGCTGAGCCATCTTACCCATGAGAAGGTTGAGGAAGGTCTTTGGAAAGGAATCAAAGTTTCCAGAAATGGTCCATGCATCTCTCACCTGCTCTTCGCGGATGATATGGTCATATTTGGGGAAGCATCGCCACAGCAAGCACTGTTAATCAAACAATGCTTAGACCTTTTCTGCAATAGCTCAGGACAAAAAGTGAACTTTGACAAGTCCCTAATGCATTTCTCTAAGAACACACCTGCGAAGAAGGACTATGGGCTCAAATCATGAAAGCAAAATATGGGATACAGACTCTAGACCCTAACACATGGCAGCCAAAGACAGGGATGTCTAACGCTTGGAAAGGAATCCTGAAGACAACACCGACCCTGACAAAAGGCCTCAAAAAAATCGTTGCGAATGGAAGAAATACCCTATTTTGGCTGGAACCTTGGATCGACCAGCACCCCTTGATCAATTTTACTA